GAGCGAACCCAAGTGTTAGGGGAAGTACTATGCGAGGTAATAATCGACGGGTTGGCCTCGTACACGAAGTTTATAGTGGCAGACATTGTGGATGAAGTCATAATCGGCGTGGATTTCCTACTTGGGCGAGGCATGAAGATTGACCTCAGGGAATGATCCTAACTTATGGCGACAGGAAAGTGCCACTTAGAGTTGGTTACGACAACCAGTGCTTCAGCAGACGGTTGGTCGTAGAGGAAGTGCCGAAGATTCCACCATAAACGGAAAGGTCCGTATAGGATTGACAAACAGCTGAAGGACGCAGTGCATCGAATCCAGACAATGGGGAGACCGAGGACCAAGATGAAAGTGGTCCACTTGGAAATACTTGCAGCGGTTGGAGCGACAAGTGTGTCTGATCGGTACGATCAGACTTAGGTGGAGGGCAGTGTGGCGAATACTGCGGCAACGCGATGCGAACAACGAGAAATAGGCAGAATATTCGAGGAATGACGTAGAATGTTCCACAAAGAGAAACGTCGAGTTGGATGAACACTGCGAACAGAGAGAGAAAGAGAATGAGCGATGAACTTCAGAACGTTCTAGAGTTGCCATGAGTGCGAGCGCAGGTATATAAGAGCCACGACACAGCGGAGTTGAGTGAGCTACAACTCAGCAAGCTACAAGTAAAATGAGCAGATAAGTGAGTTGCGAATAAGCAAGCTATAAGTTTAATTGTGTTAACAAGTTTAGTAAAGCGTTGTTATTGCTTTAACAAGTATTGTAAAGTGTTTTTACTGTATTAGCGAGTATTGTAAATTGTTTGTTGTACAATACAGTTAATGGTACTACAATTTGGTCATCGTTAGCATCTATTTAACAATCCAGAGATACGAACCGAAAGATATTTGGGAAATCCCTCGAGGTTTCAAGGATAATCGTAACAATACACTGTGCAGCGAACAGGTGGCGCCGTCAGTGGTACCGCTACTTTGGTTTTGCCGATTTTGACAGTTGTGGTAACTTGTAAACAAACCTTTGTTTACAAATCAGCGAAAGAGAAATTTTATTATATGTGAAAAATCAGTTGAAATTGTGTTAATTTGCAATTTGTGAGTGATTTTTGAGTTGAAGTCTGCGTAAAAACTAATAAAATGAAGTGCTGTGTGTTAAATTGCGACAGCCGTCAAGATGCAAGATGCGTAGATGCAAGTGTAGCGCTGGGACGAATCGCTGCATTTTGTTTACATAGGGCACGGCAAAGCCGTTCCCGGAATGTTTCTTTATTATTACATTAACAGCATTTCCTCACAATGATTTTGCTTCTGCTCCAAGCAGCCTCCATTAGCAAGTTAACTAATCAATCCCGCGGAGATGCTGCCGCAGTCTTAATTGCAAAGCAATGGAGTGGACTAAAACGTTTGCTGAAGCAGCCTCAATTGCAAAGCAATGGAGTGCACTAAAATGTTACCTAGATTAGGTGAAAAATGCAATATTTTCGCGTTTAGCAAAATTAAAACACGTTTTTCGCTGTAAAGTGAACTGTTTTGGAAGTTTTAACTCGTTTTTCTTTTCGCTCTATTCTTTGTTTACTTGTGGTACACAAATGTCAACGCCCAGGACGGCGCATTCTTGTATTCTATCATTCTTGCTGCAGAAACACACATTCAATCGCTAAGAAATCACTATGAAGAGGTAGAAGACGGTGTAAACAAAACCGAATAACGTCAAAAACGCTACGAAAAATCGATTACAAATACAACCATGGCTGATTAGGTGATCTGTAGTCGTTGGGTCATGTTGTGCCGTCCCAATAAACACCAAAAAAAAACATTTCTCCAACCTTGGAAAAATTCATAGTTCTCAAGTTGATATCCAACATCATTCTCCAACTCATCTCTATGTCCCCTTTCAACACGTCAATTCTTGAAAGCAATTTTTATCGCATTATCTTTTGTGTTTTACCTTTGCTTCCACACGCGTCAGGTTTTAATGAATTCAAGTCCGTGGATCTTTAAATGGCAAGCAACGAAAAGATCAAAAGAGAACAAGAAAACTTGAAACGAATTGACGGTACGGAGGTATCTGTACTCCTCCCCTCTCTTCCCACCTCCTTCACCAACGAACGAGCAGACTTGAAAGCAAGACTTGACGTGTCTGAAAGGGGACTAACCGACCAGATACGTAAAAAGTGATAGAGAAACGAATATTTAATTATCAAGTGAAAAACTAAAGCTATATAAAGAGGAAAATTACCAACAAAAAGTAAATAATCTTCAAAACATCCTCAAATAATCTTGAAAGAAAATAAACGCCAAGTGAATCAAGTGGTAAAATTACTGTCGGACTGTGTACTGTAAAGTGAATTATTGTAATATGGTTTTGCTTAACTACATAATACAAGGAGTAATAAAATTAAAAATTAATATTTAAATTCATCTTTGTATGTCGTTTCAATCAATTTCAATTTCAGTATTTCAATGATATGTTTGAGACCAATTCGAGAATTACATTGGACTTCAAGTTGAGAACTAGCATTTTCTCAACTTGAGAAACAGTCCTTTTTTCATACAAAGAAAAATGCCCTTTTTGTTGAGAACGCTATGATCCTCCACTTGAGGTACTGTTGAGAAACAACGTTGGAGATTTGAGAAATACCTGTTCTCAACTTACCGCCCTATTCCCACACCACTGACAAAACTCAGCGGCTGACTATTGCCTTTACTACTGCGCCTAATACTATGCCGCGAATTTATTTTAAGCTGTCGGATGACAATTGTCAGTTTTATTGTTATGACCTACTGAGGGCCTGTGCCAATTGATAGAAAAGTTCTATGGTGGAAAAACTTTTTACTATGGTGAGAAAATTTTACATTTCTGCTGTGCCAATTCGTAACTTTTTACTGCTGGAAATTTTTGACAGTTGCTTTGATGCATAAGAAGACTATCGAGTTTGCTATTTATAAAATGCAGCAATTATATAGAAAATATTTGCCTTTGATGATTTCAATTCTTCTGGAACTGAAATCCATGCATTTATTAGACCTTTTAGCAGTAATATTAGAAATAAATATTATAGTTAAAAAAACTAAAAACACGCTTTTATTACAAAAAGAACTAAAAAGTATAAAATAATTTGTAGATATAGCGATTCCGTTTAAGAAGAATAGGAAGTTCCCTAACCTGATTTAATTTAACTGTTTTAAGTTAGCTAAAAATATGATTAAAGTGATTGATCCGTAGTTATAGTCAAAATAAAGTGCACTGTAAAGTTAGTTGCAGCTTTTTGGCATAACTTTCAATGGGGTGTCTGTAAAAAAACTGCAACAAACTTTACAGTGCACTTTATTTTGACTATAACTACTGATCAATCACTTTAATCATATTTTTAGCTAACTTAAAACAGTTAAATTAAATCAGGTTAGGGAACTTCCTATTCTTCTTAAACGGAATCGCTATATCTACAAATTATTTTATACTTTTTAGTTCTTTTTGTAATAAAAGCGTGTTTTTAGTTTTTTTAACTATAATATTATTTTCTACTTTTTAGTCTTTTGAAATCTTGCAGTTAATATTATACTAAATTTGACTTAACAAACAAAATTTTCAATATATTTCAATTTAAATAGATAATACACCTATTCTGAATATAAACCAAATTTTGAGCACAGATGCCGAATTTTTAATTATATAGACTCACGCGCCACATAACTGCCAAAATTTTTTGTGTAGTTATTTCTTTTCATGTAAGCAATATGCATTCTAAATGTGAACTTAATCGGATCATAAATACGGGTTTTCCAAATATCTCGACTCCTGCGCCA